CCCCTATGGACGAGTTCAATAAAACTTGAACCCCTAAGAAAAAAAGATCAAAGTGCTGACACCCCCCCCCCAAATTTTTGCCTTATCCCTCAGAAAAAGTGCAAAGATCAAAGGATGCCGATGCACACAACCCCTCAGAAACGGCTTTTTCAACCCCCTCAGAAATTCTAGTCCATCGGGGGGGTGGGGGGAGGGTGTATATTAAATGGATGGCCCATTGCCACTTAAAGGGTTAAAAACGTAAATACCACAGCACAACACTTGTACATATACATATACAAGTAATACAACAGCAATCCTTTTATATATTTAATAGTCATATTTACATATTGGTGAAATATCAATGTCCATATATTAGGGATGTCCATTGTCCATGAACTTGTCCCTGTTTGAAGCTAATGTATTCATATCTTTTGTATAAGTTGTCCCTCTACAAATCAACTTTTAGTCATTATACAAGAGTTGAATTTGCATAAGTCGCAACAAAATGAACAAAGTACTATTCCATAAACCTGTGCAATGATCGAGCGTCTTTGGCGACATATCCATGTCTTTTAAACGTCTCATACGAACAAATCTCACTGAGTTTTTTCTACAGAAAGTATTGATCCATTTGATCGATCGCCGTACTTTGAGAAAAGCTTGAAGTGCAAAATTCAGAAGGAAGATTGAAGAATTTCGGAGATAAAAACTGTTTGTCTTCGAGTTTCACCTCTAGCATTCACCCCCCGGTTGAGAAAAGTAACAATTACGTAATGTTGGAGTCACGTGACCAGCGTTTACCAGGGCTACGCCGCCGCCTTCAATTCGCGGCTAGCCCTGGATACGAGGTTGGTTTTTCACAAGTTGTTTCGGTATTAATTCTTTAAAAAACTTGTATTTAAACTAATTTCTACGTAATAAATGTATTTTGCTAACTTGTCAAATTTTTTTTGAGAGTTTTTCCTTGTACTATTATGTTTCTCAAAGCGAATATTTTCCTTTTTCTGCTTCGCAAAACTCATGTAGTTTTTGGACCGCCATCTTGTTTTTCGCTACTCGCCGTATATGAGCTGATATACGGCGAGTAATTCAACCAATCAGATTGCAGAACAGCTCATATACGGTGGATGACTATATTATCCTATAAAGCTATATCCTATAAAGCTATATCCTATATTATCCTATATTATCCTATAACGCTATATCCTATAAAGCTACGGTGGATGACTATATTAGCCTATAAAGCTATTGACCCTATTGTTGTCATTAAATATTGTAGTGAAGAAGAATCGTTATAAACACTTAATCGTTGGCCCTCTACTGTTTCTTGTGTATATTAAATAATGACCTAACACCTAACGTGTATCTTTGCTTTCTTTCGCGAATTGTCTATTATTGCTCCTTTTAGATAAAAACCTATCGGTTTTGTCTTTTACAATAATTCAACAAAGTACAACATGTGGATGACTTCTCTTGCGCTAGAAATATGCAACTACGTTAATTGTACTAAAATAACTTTGTCAATACTTTGGTATAAGGCCACAAAAGACATGTGCAGTTATACAGAGTTATAATTTAAGCATGTAATTTGAAAGCATTAGAGCCAGCACATATAACAAAACGAACATGTAAATATTTTGAATCGTGATTGACGTAAAACCTATATACCATACCAATGGCAATGACAGAATCAATGCAAATTTGTCAAACATCTGTATGAATTGAGCCGAAGGCGAGAGTTTGTATATCCGGTACAACACGGACGCGAATGTTGTAAACAACTTAAAAAAAGACTCATCTTATGAGTTCATTGGCGAAGTAATTTTAAAAATAAACGTTGTCTAAGCCGAGAAAATCAAAGTTAAAGTTTATCGTAAATCAACATGAATTTGTATCACATATACAGATACGACACGCTTATGATTTTTCTTTGTGTTTTCTTCATGAATTATTAATGAGCTTTTTAAGAAGAATTATCAAGCTTAAGTTTGTGTTATTTTATTTAGTCTACCATGATGTGTATATATAACCGCAAGCATATATAGTTCATTTTTAACCATTATTGCATTTTGAACTACTGTAATAGTTTAATATTGCTGTCTAGCTGGAAATCATTGCATTAATTCATTTCTATCCGAAAGATTCCCTTTCGCAAGCCCGGGTCTTGATCAGTGCTAGCAGCGTAGCAAAGCTTCCAAGTTTCGACTGTAATGATTGTAAACGTGTAATAAAACTTGATTTTATTGTGTTTAGATCAATTCATAACTCCATCAGCTGGTCAAACCACCCATCCTTCCTCCACTACTGAAAGTACCACTCAACCTTCCTCAACTACAGAGGATATCATTCAACCTTTCTCCACTACTAAAAGTACCACTCTACCTTCTTCCACTACTGAGGGTGCCACTAAACTTTCCTCAACTACTGAGGGTACCACTAAACTTTCCTCAACTACTGAGGGTACCACCCCACCTTCCTCCACTACTGAGAAATCTAGACCAAGTAAGTTGTTTGTTTGTTTGTTTGTTTAGAATGCGTACTTAATCACGAATCATGCCTTCACTTTTTCCCAAGCGCGTGCCCAATGGTGTGCCCTTAATCCGCCATATTCAATTTGAGAAGAATGGAAATTACAAAGTATAACTATACACTATAGTGGGTATTTAGATCTTGAATTTGTCGTTTCTTCTTCGCTGTGGTTGTTGCGAAATCTACTTCTTCATTGTCACCATTCGCGATATCATTTATTGGCTTTAATAATTAAACTGTTCTTCGTCGAGGTTCAGTACTCCAGAGTAACAAGACGTTAAATTAGTGAAGACTAACTTCATTTATACTGGTATTTACACTGCTAACTCTATCGTTCTCCCACAGGTCCACTAAGGGTAATCACTTAACGTTTTAGTGTTACAACAGGAGGAAACCTAAACTAACTCAAGTTTGCAGTTAATACCGATGTTATACGGGATACCATAGATAGATAGCTCTTTCAGTGCTAAACGCCTGTTCTCACCGATCACTAGTGGTTCAGTGTTACGAAAATAAAAAACTAAACTAACTTAATTTGTGGACATTATTCATAATTCACAATCGGAGCCCCATATATATCCTAGGAAACGGGAATAAACGCAGGAAAACGAAACTACTTGCGAAAGGCCAAATCACTGTCAAGTAGAGGACTCCTTTTTCTTGTCGTTTATTTCAATTTATAACGACTTTGTGTATATTTTAACATTCTTTCCCAACAACGAAAGCTTCAAACGAGACTGCTATGAAAACGAGCGCTCTTTCTCCAGTTTTCTGTGTAGAAAATGTGAAAGTATGACAACGTAGTGATTGTGTTTATCCAGAGGTGAAAAACATTTTATTGAGATTGTAATGTCAATATATAGCTTATTCCGTCAAAAATGAAGACGGCCATGGAAGGAAAGTTTTATTTTCATGTTTTGGCATTAATATGAAAGTAAACAAGAGGTCAAATTCCATGAGCGAACTTCAAATGTTATTGATTCGCATGGAAAATTTTGTACTTATGTGTGAAATATGTTCGCGCTTCTTTATTTCAATTTTTTGGGCAAACGTTTCCTTTTCCGATTGACCCAAGTATTTTTGTACGGCAAATATTTCAGAATCTGACCATATATCTTCTCAAAAGAATTTTTTCAACTTTCATGCTTAGTTTTATATATAATTTGTGGAAAACGTGTTGATTTTTAGTCAACATTTTTCTAGTCCTGCGATAGCCGGCAATTTCCCGCGGTTATTCCCGTTTCCTAGGATACGGGGCCCCGATTACGATTTATCCATAAAGTCCATAAGATATACCCGGATAGTAAGCTGTTTTATACTGGGCATTTTTCAACTACAGTATATAACTATGGGGTATTTACCCCAGTAGGCCCTTTGCTTGCCCCAGTATAGAGAAACAAGAATTTCAGAAAAAGTGAGCCCTTTTGATCATTATTAATAGTCAACCTTGTTGAAAAAGCTGCTTCTGCCTTCTTTCTCATATATCCTCTCACATTCTCGACATTCCATCTTATAAAAATCAGAACATGCAGGCAGGGACTGGCTGGGGGTGAGGGTTGGAACTCCCAATGTTAATTAGCGTTTGAAGTAAATCTACTAAATTTCACTTACACCCCCTCCCTCATACATGCAAGTAAGGCTGGCGCCGCCCCCTGAGCGCGGGCGTAACTGTGCGGGGAGAAGACCCTCATCGAAACTTGGTCCCAGTAGTTGCAATTTCTTAAAAATATGCCATGTCGAGTGTGTCTGGTTGACTCAAGAGCTCTCAAAGGACTCTCAGAGGTACAGAAGGGCCCACGTAAAAGACACTTGAGGCACAAACACACAAGATTGTACCACTTCTCGTACTTTTGTAGCAAAATGTTTGTGTGACAATGAAACTTCAGAAAAATCGTCGGAGGACAAGAAAATTCGCATGGATCTTCTAATACCGCTGGTTGTTTTGGCCCTATGTTTTCTTCTCTCACTTGCTGTGATTATATACCAAAGTCGTCGTCTCCAAAATAGCTATAGACTGGCGAGTCATAAAGGTAAATTTGGTACCTTTGTAATCGTTTACCTTAAACGAGTTAATTTTATAGTTTGTTTACACTAGTCAGTGGATATCTCTTGGAATTTGTAACTGTTCTGCGTACAGAGGTCCAGCATGGGCAATCTTGTGTTGATCCAGGATGAAACCTAAGTCGTAACTTTATTTTTGTTGGATATCTGTATCATCTCCAACACTTCTCCCTATACAGACTGAGCTCAGCGAGAGCTCCGAATGGACGACTTGCGCTTTAGACTAAATTTTAATCTAAGTAAGAACAACGAAATTTATTACCACAGCTGGAAAGAGCGTCTTGGAATTAGTAATATTACAAAGTTTGGTTGCGAAATGTTGTAAAATACGGAAAATATAGCCCTTCAAAGTTGGCAAATCTGTATACTTTTGTATTACGTGCGTGAATTGGTAACTAAATTAGTTACCAATTTCCGCACGTAATAGAAATGTACACAAATTTGCCAACTTCACAAGGCTATATTTTCCGTATTTTACAACATTTCGCAACCAAACTTTGCAGTTTTTCTAATTTTGATAACTTCTTTCAGAAAATATCCTTTGTTATTCCCAGATTAAAAATTTTTCTAAAGCGTAAGTCGTCCATTGGTTCAAATATTCCAGATAACCAGGAACACGCAAAAAATTGGTAGAGTCAAACTGGAATTACTGTCCTTAAATTATAATAAACAAGTGAACTTAATTTTACTTATGTTTCAAAAACATTTTATTATTTAAATGACAATATCAGGTAAGGGGATGCGTACGAAGGAAATAATTAATCATTGCATAACTTACTGGTACCTTTTAGCTACATTGTGTAAACTTTGTAGTTTCCATTTCAGAACCTACAGGACAAGAATCCTCGAAGTACATGGTTATGAAAGGCAACAGCGATGTTGGTGGTGATTAGGAATATGGCAATCCTTCATTTAATCCGAACTTAAGTGCTGATAATTTAATAGCCGGATTCTCCTAGATGAGTAGTTCGTGTAGATGTGGCTGCGTATAGGAATTTTACAGTCTATTACTGTATAATAGCATAAAATTTTTTTATTTTTTATATACTTTAATTAAAGTATACGTCTATATATATATGGACGTGGAAAACTGTGTATAAATTTATTCAAAAATATACAATAATATTAAACGGGTCAAAACTGACCGAGAATATGCATGGACCCTGTTATATGCTCACTTTGACAGAATTGTTGTAGCCGTTTGCGTTGTATGCCTAAACGCCATGTTACATAAGACAACTCTTACTTGTTGCTATTTAGCACGCAATGATGACACAGATCGACGTTAACTAGACTATAGAGAAGGGAAACATTCAACAAGGCATGCGATTCTACACTCAATTTCACACGTGTTTTCTATTATCCTATTAATTTTCCTGCGTTTAAAACAGACAGACTAAAGACCGAGAACATATCCGACTTAACGCAAAAAAACTCAGAGGAACACGCCTAGGAATAGCAGAACAATTTCCTGAAGAAATTGAGAAGGTACGGCGAATGCTTTATCCTGAAATGAAGAAAGCAAAAGCAGAAGGGCATAGAGTGCGTATGGTTCGATACAAGCTCTACATAAACAATGTTGAGTTCAAAGTACCTCAAACCTCACACTATTAAAATAACACTATTTTTAACGTCTAAAATATGCAAGATATGGCCAATATAACAATAGGTAAGAAAAACTGTTTTACGTTCTTATATAATTCATCAAAATCAAAAATGTATAAATTGTCTTACATGCGAGGATTGGTTTCACGCTCGCATCTCATGCGTAAATCAACCCTCACATGTCAACAAACGGTAATTGATATATCCAACATGTGTTAAATTTATTCACTTCCTTTTCACTCAATAGATGATTCAGAATTTTATTTTATTTTTGGCAATTTCAGCCGCATTCTAAGCGATGAGAATATGGATAGACTAACGCAACTCAAATTTAACACTTTTGATATTGATAACAACATTTTAAACAATCAACATTCAGTAAGGTTTGATGACTTAACATGCAATTACCATCTACCAAAGGATTTTGCTAAGAATAACACTAGCAATATCTATCTATCTATTCTGAACCTTAATATAAGAAGTTTAGCAAACAAATTTGATGCATTTAAAAATGTATTAAGTAGTTTGAATCACGCATTTTCTATAATATGTTTAACGGAAACATGGCTCAATGACTAAAACAGTGAGAACTTCAACCTTAATAATTACAATTTTGTTTGTTCAAACAGAGCAAATAGAAAAGGTGACGGAGAAAGATTCTATATTTCAAATAATCTAAACTACAAATTACGAACTGATCTTAACATATACGAGGAAGGAATTATTGAATCCCTTTTCATTGACATAATCTCAACCACAGGTAAAAATATTATTCTCGGTAATATCTATAGACCACCAAGTGGTAATTTTGAAATTTTTGAAAACAAACTTAATGAAATATTAGCTAACGTTGATAAAACAAAGAAAATAACTTATTTGACTGGAGATTTTAACATCGATCTTCTGAAATCTGATGTTTGCGAATATTCAAACAAATTTTGTGAGCAACTTTTCACATCATCTTTCTTTCCCCTTATATAAATAAACCAACTAGGATTACCCAGCATGCAGCAACTTTAATTAATAACATCTTTACTAACGATTTAGACCAAATAGAATCTAGCATAAATGGATTAATTTACTCAGATATTTCAGATCATCTGCCTATATTTCATTTAGCTTCTTGATCCTCAAATACTGATGACTTTACACAAAAGGGAAAAAATATGTGCTACAAAAGAATTGTCAACAAAGATAGTCTTGCTTCGTTTTTAGTCTCTGTAAAAAAATATCATGGGAAAGTACTTACGAAACAAATGACGCGTGTGAATCTTACAATAATTTTCATAAGAGCTTAAAAGTAGCAATTGACAAGAATTTACCCTTAATAAAAATGAAACCAAAAGCTATTGATCATGCAAAAAGTCCATGGATGACAGGTGGTATTTTGAAGTCTATATCCAAAAAAAATCGACTTTCTAAAAACTATTTGAAAAACCCGTCGTATAGAAATGAAATAAAGTACAAAACATACAAAAACAGATTGAATCATGTAATTTCATGCAAAAAAAGTCTATTACAAAAATCAATTTCTAAAATACAAAAACGACACAAAAATGACATGGCAAACTATCAATGAAGTCCTTAATAGAAGTAAAACTAAATCAAAACTACCTGACACGTTCCTGCAAAAAGATTCAAACACGAATGTTACAAATCCGGTTGATATTGCAAACAAATTTAATGAATATTTTGTAAACGTGGGTCCCCAACTTGCTAAAAAATTCCCAAGGTCAATGAGATATCATATGAAGACTACCTTAAAGGCAATTATGTTGAAAGTATGTTTTTTGAGCCTGTAACTGAAAATGAGTTACTGAACGAAATAATTAATTTAAGAGAAAATAAAAGTGCAGGACAGATGAAATAAGCTCCAAAATGATAAAAGCAATAAACGCAGAAATACTTAAACCTTTAACTTATATCTATAATTTAACTTTTCTGACTGGAAAGATTCCAAAATCCCTTAAAATTGCTTTAGTTACTCCTATTTTTAAAGCAAATGAGAGTAACCCTTTTGAGAACTATAGACCAATATCGGTTTTGACTTGTTTCTCAAAACTACTTGAGAAACTCATGTACAAAAGACTATATAATTATGTTGAAACGAAAAAAATACTATCAAAACATCAATATGGATTTCGCAGAGATAGATCTACCGAACATGCCATTCTAGAAATAACCGATAAAATTTCTAAAGCAATGGATGAAGGTAAATACACAATGGGTATTTTCCTTGACCTTTCTAAAGCTTTCGATACAGTCAACTTTGAATTTCTTTTTAAAAAGCTTCAACACATTATGGAATAAGAGGAATTTGCCTTCAGCGGTTTAAAGATTATTTGCAGGAAAGAACTCAAATTGTAAAATATAAACAACATAGGTCAACTGAAATGAATGTTACTACAGGAGTCCCACAGGGTTCAATTCTTGGTTCATTGCTATTTCTTTTATACATCAACGACATCGAAATCTGTAGTGATATACTTTCGTTCGTATTATTTACAGATGATACGAATGCTTTCTATTCAAATTCGTGCTTGAAAACTTTGTATAATATACAATACAAAATGAAATGAATAAGGTTGTAAAATGGCTCAATGCCAATAAATTATCAATCAACGCTTCTAAGACAAAGTTTGTAATTTTTAAATAAAAAAATAAGTTTTTACTGAATACAGATAGTACAATCAAAATAAATAATGATTTGGTTAAGCAAATGACGTTTGTAAAGTTTCTAGGAGTTATAATTGACGAAGAGTTGACATGGAAGAACCACATCAGCTCAGTTCTGAAAACTATTATTAAATGTACAGGTCTGATCGCTAAACTAAGACATTATACAAATAGAAACACTTTAAAATTGATTTACTACGCATTAGTTTATCCATACCTCACGTACGGGAATCTTGTTCGGGGAAATACATATTCCACAAGATTGCAAAAAATAATGAATGTACAAGAGAAAATTGTTCGATTAATTTGTTTTAAATCTTATTCCGATCATTCTGAAACATTATTTTTGTACTTGAAAATCTTGAATGTCTAAAAAATTAATTATTATCTATGTAGTATATTTATGTATCGATTCTTTTATTATCAAAATAATTTGCCGGACTTTTATTGTGATTATTTTAAACAAAACAGTGAATTACACAACTATAATACACGTAATTCCACTAAGTTACACGTGATCTTTCAAAGAACTAATTATCGTAAATATACTGTGTTTAACAAAGGCGTCTCTTTATGGAATGGTCTCAATGAAAATATGAAAAATATCAAATCGTATTTCTCTTTTAAGAAAAAAATAAAATCCTATTACTTACTATCTGTTTAATGCAAATACTGTAAAATAAAGTCAACTTTTATCTCCTTATTCTTTTAACAATTTTATGTAAATAATCGTAATATATACTGCCTTATTTGTCAACATTTGTAATAGTTTTTACTTGTAATTGATTTTTCAAAACTAGGGCCCTTATCTAAAAGTCCAACAGGATTTCCAAAGGTTTCTAGCCCCCCATATACTATTGTAAATATTCTAAATTACTTAATTTGTAAATATCTTTTGTGGGC